CTTCCGAAAAATCTTGCCAAGAAACTGCATGGACTGGTCCATGTAGTTGTCAGGAGTCAAGATCAATTGAAGGGCTCCAAAAAACCCAACAAAACTCAACTGAATGAAAAGAGAGTGAGAGAGAGAGAACTGCAGGTTGACATGTTTTGTGCTTAAACAATTGAATATATTTAAGTGCCTCTTCAAATATTTCAAAATGTGCTGAGTTTTAGGTATACTGCATTTTGAGGACAAAGTTTTCATTAGTTTAGGATGGGATTGTCAAGCAAATATAAGCACAATGTTCAAGACTGGCTACCTAGTGCTGTTAGGATAGAAAAGAAAAATTGTGGATGATTCTACTACACTTCAGTTGTAAGATTGTATTAAGTGGTTTTCACTAAATGTAAGTGTCTTAAAAATGATCAGAGGTTGGCACAGTATGATCTTGCATGTAGCGCCTCCTTTGGAAACTCCATCATTTTATTCCTGGAGATACTTCAGTTATAAACACTGCTTTCCCTCTAGTAAAATGAATGAGACCTTTGCTTGCAGAAAAGATTGATTGACTATACTTTTGGAAAATTACTCAATATCCTACAAGCCAGTTAATACAATTTAGAGCAGAATTCCTTTTGACGTGTACTTGTAAAATACAATCTTTATACTTCTTGTGTATATCTATGGGAAAAATTAATACCAAAAGAAAGGGACTGCTGATAATGGGCATTGTATGCACACACCAAAGAGATCACAGTGCTGCACCCGGCATCCTGCAGGTTTTGACCCCCCCCCCCAATGGCTATTGCTGTCGCTGAAGATGATTTTGGGTGAATAGAAAAGTGACTATTTCTTTGTTCAGTAATTTAGGGTGCAAGACTATTTAAACATATTCTCTGTGAACTAGAGACGTCGTCAATTTCTTTTGGACAAATTCTTGTCCAGGATTCAATTGAATTTTGCTTCTGTATGTTGTAATGCATGTTTTTCATCATTAGATGTCACGGTATGGCTGTTTACCCATCCAAAAACACTGCATGCAGTGAGGAAAAAGAAACATAAGATTGTAAAACTGTGTGCATTTGTTATTTGCTGCAGGAGGAGAAAAACCTCTACAGTACCAGACAAGAATTACAAGATTTTTCACAGAGTGAGGAAGGTACAAATACAGATGATATGTGAATATGAGTGTATTAGTAGCAAAGTACAGTTGTAATATTTTTATACTTCAGGCATAAAACTCCACATGGAATACAGATTTAGTAAATAAAGGGCTGATGATGTATTTAGACTTGCAATCTGATATCAAATGTATTTCCTTCAAAGTAAAGCCTTTTTGTTTATTAGGAAAAGTCTAGATATTTTGTATTATTTGATATGTCAAATTCTAGGAGCTATTTGGGCACGCCCTCCATATTTCCATAACCAAGTAAAATATCATTTTGCTTCTGTGCTCTCCTTCCCAAAATATATAATGAGATAAACTAGGCAAACACGGACAGTTAAACTGTACAATCTTTTTTGAAAGTTTAATACAGCTTTAGATAAAACTGAACTTGCAGTATTAATGAGTACAAGAGTTTGTTAATTTTATGTTATCCAAATATACTTGTACATTTGTACAGTTAGAGATTGCATGCCAGAAAATGCAATTAGTTGATTCTAATTTGAGTATGTACAATTTACAATATAATTCAAGCATAAATTCAGCAGTCAAACACACAGACCTGCTGTGCAGTCAAACAGAATTTTCTTAGAAACTTCAGCACAAGGGCTTGGCAAAACATGGATGATGAAACTGAAGTGGCTGCCAGATTAATAAAAAAGACTATGAAATGAAAAATAAAAACAGTTGGCAAAAGAAAAAAACCAAATGTATTATTACCCACATTTTATATTAAACCATAAGCAGCAGCTATATTTTAACCTAAAGACATATTGCAATGAAAACTTGTCGCAGCATTAAACAATGACGATTCCATTAGAGAAAAGGAAAATCTGTTTTAATGTTTTAGGTCCTTTGAATCAAAATTAACTTTGTTTCCACCATAATATTACATATCCTCACCAATTACAAAAGAACAATCCACTTTCTCTGTGCTGTCTTGCACTGCACAAAGGTTAAGTTACCAAATACTTTACAAATAATTATTCCTACACATACGTGGATTCTAATGCATGATTATACAGTTGACTATGCAAAGGTTCAAATACAGAAGTGTGAATAAAATTAGCCTTTAAAGTGAATAGGACTGTAAAATATCACAAATGTCCTATTTGCCTACTGAAGAACAGAGAGCAGTACTCTCTAAGCTACATTTCCTTGACAGTATGATACAAAAATCAAACACAATTTTTGAAGAGACTCATCAATTAGATGTGGAAAAATCACATGTCACTTTTCATATTTGTTCCTTTACATGGCAGAATTGTGGACACCAGCTACATTCTGCATTTTTGGTGTTTATGTGGGTTTTTTGGCTCATAATTAAACACATTCATACTGCCAATGAACTGAAAACTGAAGGTCAAAAGCATGTGCTTCAGTTCACAAATTTTAAACAAGTTTTCAAAGATGGAAAAAAATACACAAAGCCCGTAGTGATGTCTCAGGTTCACATGGACCCTCTGTTATGGATGATCAGCTTGCTTTTCATTGTTTATGATAGGTTACAAAATGTTTAAATACTTTCAGGTACAGGGATATATGCTGTTACTCTTGTCACTGACTGATAAAAACGACTCTCATTCATTTTTAATGATTCACAGCCCTTTGAGAACTTGATGGATAAGTAAAATAATATTTAGATTTTTTTTTAAAAAAAAGCAGTTAAAACCACACAATTCTATGCACGCTTAGTTAAGTATAGACTCAAGTGAAGTCAACAGATCTACTGCCAAATATGTTTAAGACTGTACTGTAATTTTCCTTGCCTCATCATCCCTACCCCAGCCCAACTTTCAAATAATTTAATATAAATTGTTTCACACTCATTTCAATATTTGGACAGATTTTGTAATTATTGATTTTAATTATTCTGTTTTGTAGGTTTCACAGAATAACCACTAGATACTATACAAATATTTTACCAAAAGAATAAAAAGGGTAATTTGGAAATCAATATTGAAGTGGAATTGCTTGTTATCCCTCAGAGTAAGTTCATGCATGCAAGAGTGACATCAGCCAGTTCAGAGCAGGTATGCATTTTATATCTCATAGCAGCATTCCAAACTCAGTGCCTTGGGTCCAGCTGAACAACTGCAAGGAGTGATCTATTCACTCTTCCCATCAAAGGCTCCATGTTTCATCTGAAGCTGTTCTGGAGTTGCTTCTTCTGGGAAGCACAGAAAATGGGAAAGTCCCTCTGCAGGAACTGTTAGATAAACCCGGCCTAAACCTCCGCTGGCCAGTTCAGAAGTTCAGATATAAGTAATCACATCACAGCATATGAAATGTTACAAATATATATGTAAAATACATATATAAAAAAAATTCAGCACAGAGGAAAAGTAATTGTAGCAAAAAAAAAAAAAAAAAAACCAACTGTCTAAGTTGTGAGATATTTTTGTATTCAAATTCACTCAAACATATTTTGGGAAAACTGCTTAAACAAAGTTTCCTAATGTGAATTTCTTTACAAAAATAAAACAATTCATATTAATTTTTTCTAATTCAATTATTTTCCAAATGTTGTAATTTACAGATGTTCCTAGAATAAAGTTTAACAAAAATAAAATATAATAATTTGAATGTCGTATATTACTACATAATATTACTACAAATTTGCTATTACTGCCAGACAGTTTTATTCCCTAAAGCCAAATTTAAAAGCAAACATTAACATTTGCAATGGACATGAACTTACAAGCTTATAGGCCGTGGTCTAAGTATCTGGTATCCTGACAATTCACAAGCAACTCTGGCTGGCATCTTCAGAGGTAAAATGATCTGTTTGGTAGTGTACTTCTTGGCAGCTACAGAAAGCTATATCAATATATTGTTTGCCTCTACGGTGAGAATATTTTCCATCAGGTTTGTAGACTGGAAGCTCTTTGAAACACGGTCCTTCCTTCCTTCCTTCCTTCCTTCCTTCCTTCCTTCCTTCCTTCCTTCCTTCCTT